CTTCAAAGATGAGATATCAAAGCTAAAATATTTCAGCAAAAAATTTAAACTTTTGTATTATGTGAAGTATTTTAAACAAACATATCTCATTCGTTTTAAGTCGGATTAACATACGATTTTTTTTAATGTGTAATGTAGAGTTTGTAGATGATTTTAGACTATAATTTCGTTGTTTTTGGTATTATATTCGATGAGTTACAATCTTCAAAGATGAGATATCAAAGCTGAATTATTTCAGCTTTTCAGCAAAAAATTTAAAGTTTTATATTCTATGAAATTCTTTAAACAAACATATCTCATTCGTTTTAAGTCGGATTGACATGCGATTTTTTCCAACGTGTAATTTAGAGTTTGTAGATGATTTTAGACTAGACAAAACTTCAAAAATGGTCCCTGTGGTTTTCAAAAATATCAAGTTTAGTCCCTAAGTTTAAAAAACCTCACAGATGGTCCCTATGGTTTCAAAATTTTTAACAAATGGTCATTTTCGCTAACTCCGTTAACTTTTGGTCATTAAATGAAGGGCATTTCTGTCTTTTCACTACCACAGGGACCATTTATGAAGTTTTGCCCTTATTTAAAATAATAATAATAATAATAATAATAATAATTTAATATTAAAGGTCCCTCTCTTTCTCTCTCTCTCTAATGCCCCATCGTTACCACCACAACATCATTTATTTCTTTTTTATGAACCCTAAAAATACCACTGCCACCTCCATACTCTAATCACATTCTCAGCCCACTGTCACCGGTGATATCCTTGGCCGGAACCACCCAATTGGGGCCTCTCGTCTCCGCCACCCCTGCACATTTGGATTCCAGACAACAGCCAAATCGCAACCGCTCATCTCCTCCACCCCTATGTCCCTCTCTCGTCTCTTTCTACCTTCTAAGAGTTAACGATGGCGAGGGTCAGTGGTAACAGACGAATGATGGGGTTTCAGATAGAAAAAATCTGAGCAGATCCGAGTAAATGTAGAGGAAGGGAGAAGTGGCACCGAGGATCGATAGTAGCAGAGTGAAGATCGGCAGCAGACTGCAAATCGGCGGCAATGGATTAGGGGAAAAACAAACCTGCAAATCAGTTTTCGGTTAAAGAAGGGAAAATCGGAAACGGGTATTTAACCAGGTTCGATGGTAGTATTTGGTCGGCGACGTGGAAGACCCATCATTGACGGTAAGAACATCTGCACCATTGTTCGATTTATGGAGGTTAAAACCGAGTCAGATTGGTCTTCCATCGATTTGAAGGGTCTCAAACCTCAATTTGTTGGTTTACGTGTCTCTACAATCAGCCAGAGGAATGGTGTATCTAGTACCAGCATCTGATAATCGATTTTCTCATATGATAATCGATTTACTCGTTTTTCAAATTCTTTGTTGATATTCTTGATTAAATCGATTTTGTGAGTCATAGTTCATGTATTGATTAACAAAATGGAAATTTTCAAATACAGGATGGATATGATTTCAGAAGTGTATATTATCGATGAAGTAAGAGATGAGTTTGGATGATGATTGATATGAATCTGTTTATTTGGATAAATTAAAGATATTATGATTGCGTAATTGATAATTGATCAAGATGAATTTAGACCCAGATGTTGGTTTGAAATCAATATACCGACATGATAGTATCCGTGATCAAAAATTGGATTGAAAGTCTGAATCAACGATACTGTTGCTATTGTCAAATTAAAAGTCAAAATTAACTTCAGTATTTTTATTTAGGTTTGTTGTGAAAGAAAAAAGGATTTTGATTCAAAATTGACTTCAATATTTGCGTTTGTTCATGTGTTCATATAAATCTAAAACAATGGTGTAATCGGGGAGAGAGAGAGAGAGAGAGAGAGAGAGAGAGAGAGAGAGAGAGAGAGAGAGAGAGACCTTTAATATTAAATTATTATTATTATTATTTTAAATAAATGCAAAACTTCATAAATGGTCCCTTTGGTAGTGAAAAGACAGAAATATCCTTCATTTAACGGCCAAAAGCTAACGGAGTTAGCGAAAAAGACCATTTGTTAAAAGTTTTGAAACCACAGGACCATCTGTAAGGTTTTTTGAACTTAGGGACTAAACTTGATATTTTCAAAAACCACAGGGACCATTTTTGAAGTTTTGTCTTTAGACTATAATTTTGTTGTTTTTTGTGTTATATTCAATGAGTTACAACCTTCAAAGATGAGATATTAAAGTTGAAATTTTTCAAATTTACAACAAGAAATTTAAACTTTTGTATTCTGTGAAATTCTTTAAACAAGCATATTTCATTCACTTTAAGTCGGATTGACATGCGTTTTTTACCAACATGTAATTTAAAGTTTGTAGATGATTTTAGACTATAATTTTGTTGTTTTTGGTGTTATATTCAATGAGTTACAATCTTTCAAACAAATAGTATAATGTATAAATAATCAAAGTTTGACCGGCCCAAATGGCACAATAAACGAAAATGTATTCATTTTTACGAGTTGTACCGTATCAAAACAAAAAAAGTATTCATTTTAACAAGTTGTAACGTATCAAACCCAACAACATATTCGTTTTAACGAGTTATATCAAACCCAAAAACGCGTTTTAACAAGTTGTGTCATATGCATATAAAGTTTTACCGGTCCAAACGGGTCCAAGAACCGGAAAACCCGGACCTGGACCCGATAAGTCTCATCCAGTCCGGTCAATGGTCCACGATATTCTCCGAAACCGGTCCGGTCCAAGAGCCGGTCCGGTCCGATCCAAATGCTCACCCTTAGTTGTACATGGATTAGGGCACAAATAAAAATATAAAGTGTACACAATAGTGTTTTTTGAACACAAACATAACTTAAATTGCATCTCAATTTGTTTATCCCATATTCTATAATTCTCATAGCTGTGATTGTATCGATATATATATATATATATATATATATATATATATATATATA